GGCAGGTGCCCAGGGAGTTTCTGGAGAGTGAGACGCGGGGCCAGGTGGAAGCTCCAAGGCCGTTTGGGACCTGGTCCGGGAAGTCGTGGAGCACTTTCGCTGTAGTCTATGGGTTGAAGAAGGCACAGGTGCACCCAGCGCCGAGGGGAGGAGACATAGACGGAGGAGCTGCAGAGTCACGCTGCAGAAGAGCATAGGAGAAGGGAAATATTGGTGTGGCCATCTTTGGAAAGTATGAGGCTGTCTGGTCCTCACAGTCTGGCCCTGATCCATATGTCTGAGGGAGGGAGCCTGCACTCACTGTCTCTCTCCTGCACTCGTTTCCAGGCAACTACTTTCTCTCTATTCTTCAAACATGCTGAATGCACTCTGCCTCAGGGCCTTTGCACTTGCTGTTTTGCTGTCTCCACATGGCTGGCTCCTTCCTCTCCTGAAGTTCTCAGCTCAAATGTTACCTCCTTAGATAGGTCCTCTATGACCATCAGTCTAATCACTACCCCTCTCCAAGAATGCTCTAGAAAAGCACCATCCAATAGAAAGACCATGCAAGCCACATATGTAATTTAACATTTTACAGTAGCCACATTTAAAAATAAATTAAATTTATTTATATATTTACATATGCATTATTTATTTATATTTACCTTGAATATATTTTATTTAACCCAATATGTCCACAATATTATGATTCAATATAGAAATGTTAATGAGATATTCTTACGTTCTTTTTATTGTACCAAGTCTTAGAAATCTGGTGTATATTTTATGCTTATTGTGTATGTCAATTCAGAAGCCTAATTTTCGTTGGAAATACTTGATCTGCATTTAGATTTGATAAAATGTACTGTTGAAAGAGTAGATTTACATACTCAAGTTGTTCAAAAATATTCTAACTGATTTGAGCATCACTTTTTAAATTTAAATTACTTAAAATCCGAAAAAATGAAAAGCCCGGGTCCTGTCTCTGTCCACATCACATGAGCTCAGTAGTCACGTTTAGCAGATATAGAACACTTCTAACATTGCAGAAGGTTCTGCTGGACTGTGCTGTTCTAGAACATTCCCTGTGCTCTTGTCCACGTGGCAGTCCCACTGTCTGCACTGACCTTCCTTTGCTTGTGCACTTGCTCATCTTCTCTCCCTCCCTCTGAACTGTAAGCTCCTTCAGGACAGGACCTACGAGGTCTTGTTCCTGCCCAGAGAACCTGGCGCACACAACGTAAAACGAACAACTTGTTCAATGAATGAGTGAAAACTAAATCCAGGCCCCAGGCTACGTGTTCTCAATTAACCCTCAGCACAGCTCTATGACTCTGACAGAGGAGGAAGCTCAGAGAGGCAGAGCCACTTCCCCAAGGTCACACAGCTGGAAGGTGCCAGGGCGGAGCTGCGTGGGGTGTGTCTGACACAGAACCCAGCTTGTGTGGCTTCACAGATGAAGAAGCATGGCCCTGCCTGGGAGCTTATGACCTATCAGGGTCAGAGGTGAGCAGGCGGGGGAGCAGGCTGTGGCGGGTGTGAGGAGAGCACTGAGAGATGAACTCCATCTGAGTATCAGGGGAGGCTTCATGGAAGACGTGTTGTCAGACGTGATAGCCGTCCTGACCTGCCGCACTGGGCAGAACTCTTTTGGTTCCAGCCACAGTAGGGACAGTAAACGAACTCAAATCGGCCCAAGAAAAAGATGTGTGGGCCCCCATGGCAGAAGAGGGGTGTGGCTGGGGCTGAGAGCTTCAGGGGGTCTCCAGGCCGCTCTCATGCCTCGGCGCTGCTTTCCTCCAGGCTGGCTCTACTCGCGGGCAGCTCCCTGACACCACGACGCCGCCAGGCTATGGCCTCTCTCCAGTCACTCTGGTGAAAAGAGAGAGAGAGAAATTTTCTCCTTCCAAAGGCTGCCACAGAAGTCCCAGGGCCGTGCCTCATTTGCCTCTGACGGGGTCGCATGCCACCACTGAGTGACTCAAGTCAAGGAGATGCAGTGCCCCAACCGGCCAGGCCATCACCCCTTGGAGCTGGGGATGAAGGCGGCTCCAAGACAATGGCGTTGTCTGATAGCTGGGGTCCCCACGAACACTGGGGGAAGTTACTGTACATGCCAGGCAGGCAAAGACCCTGGGAGCTGGCCAGAGCCATGGGCAAGGAGCAGAGATGCCCAGGAGGAGGAGGAGGGGGCGGGGACTTTTCAGGCAGAGGGAGCAGAGGGGGCAAAGGCAGGTGCCCTGGGGCAGGCGGCAGGTGCAGGCACGGTGAGGCCCTGTGGGCCACGGTAGGAAAGCACTCCGCAAGCTGAGTCCTCCTGCAACCTGCAGTCAGGGCGCCCCCAGGGGGAAGGTGGCGGGCGCCCTGGGGCCCTTCTTGTCTGCCAGGCGTCCGCCCTGCCTGCTCCAGATTTGGGTCAGTCAGAACACGTGGTCCTCCCGCTACAGTGATTGGCTCTGAGGTGGGCAGTCAGATGGGAAAGACTCCCTCTTTCCACGCACGATTTTGGAGACCCTGGGCCTGGGGGCTGTCAATGGCCATCTCGTTGGCCATGAGGAGAAACTGGCCCCCAAGGAGGGAGGTCGAGATGGGCAGAGGCTGTGCTGAGGACGCTGCCGAGCCACGCCGAAGTTCTGCCCCCGGAGCTCCCAGCAGCAGAGGAGCCTGGGTGCCATCTGGCTCCTGGGTGGCTAACTGGGGAAAGCCTGGACCAGTGCCCCGGCATCTTGGGCCACAGTGTGAATTCCCTACCCCCTCCTTCGGCAGGCAGCTTCGAACAGGGCCTGTCCCCCTTTCCTCAGCCCCATATCCCACTAGCTCCCTCCCGTAGAGCAGGGAAGAAATCCCCGTGCTCAGGGCTGTGATGTGTGTGCATTGCGCTGTTCATTTTGATTCGACGCCTCCCTCACATGGGAAGTTGACGGCACAGTCTTAGAGCACGCTCAGCGCCGAGCCTGGCTTAGCGACAACCTTGACCAGTCCCCCTGTACGGGCACCCTCCAAGCACGCTCCCTCCACTGGCTCATGTTGTCCTCACCGCAGCCCCGGGGGCCGGTGCGGTCAATGTTCCCGGGGAGGACACCGGGCTCACAGTGGTGCAGCCACTCGCCCAGCTTCACCTGGGAAGAGGCCGGGTGAGGAGGCACCCCTGAACTGCTCTGCCCTGACGCTGGGCGAGGGGACCACCACTACCTGTGGAGCAGCCCTCCTTGTGGCCCTCCCTACACTGTTCACTTCGGGGAAGCTCTCTCTTGGGTCCTTCCCTCTCAGCTGATCAAGTGGCTGGAAATTCTCCTTCCATGGTCTCCTTAGCAACCGGCCCACAGGCAGCAGCCCTCCGTCAGCCTGATCAGAAACCCAGCTCCTCGAAGGCCCTGCCCGCACCTCCTATGTGGGGCTGAGGGCTGTGGGCTCTGTCACCAGCCTCCGTTCAGGTGGGCGATGCTGACTCGGCCTCCTGTGGAGCCCAGGATGGTGGGTGGACCTGTGGAGGGAGTCTGGGCCCAAAGGCTGGGGTCCGGTTGGGTGCTGACCTGAGTTGACCATCTGTTGTGGCCCAGGGCAGGGGCATGGCCTCAATATGTGACCACCGGTGACCCGGGGAGCTGAAAAACTGCTAGGAGCCCCGGAGCAGCACTTCTATGTCTGGGAGGCCACCCAGGCACCCTGACCCTCGTGGGGTGGGGAGGCTGCAGGTTGGCAGCCCCAGGTAGCTGCAGGGATGTGCCCCCAGAACCCCTTTGAGGGACGTGCTGCCCCAGCTGCTGGAGGCTGCCAGCAGGGACCCTGAACCGTCAGCCTCGGCTGCAGATGCCGCCCCCCGCCAGCCCTCCCTGAGTCCTGTCACTGACCCACGCAGGCATGCCAAGGCCCGGCCACCACCCTGACTCAGGACAGCTCTGGGGGCAGTCCTGCTCCAGGCCCCAAGCCAGTCAGCGGCCCCCTCTGCCTGATCTTGCTTCCTCCCCTCCAGGCGCAGGCCTGGGCCGGGGCCCTCCTGAGGACCCTCCAGCGTGCTCTCCTTACCCCTGGCGGTTCCTGAATTCTCAATCTGCATGTTCCCGCCGCTGCCAACTCTCTTCTGCACTGGATCACTCCTCTCACGCCAGCCCTGGGACCTGGGGAACACGCGGGTGGGCAGGGGACACCCTGGAACCCCAGATGCACTCGCCTGCTCCCCCAGAGCCCAGGTGGGCCCTCCATGGGGCTCCCCGATCTCTTGGGGCCCCTCTGGCTCTGCTTCAGTGGCAGAGAATTCCCTCCTGGCTGGTTGCTCTGGTTTCCATCTCCTCGCTGGTGAGTGGCCGGGACAGGCGTGGGCCCAGTTCTGAGGCTGAGGGAAGTTTGCTGGGGGCTTTGGGAAAGGTCTCTGGGAAGACAGAGCCCCCACTGATGCAGCTCCTCTCCCTGCCTGGTGGGGAGCCTGCAGCCCTCAACTGACCTTAGCCCAAGTGGGGTGGACAGGCCCCCAGAATGCAAAAGGGGACAGTCCCTGAGGCCCCCGTTGGGGCCTAGCCTTCCCTTGGACGCCTTGCAGTTGGGGAAATGCTCAAACCTGTCTGAGGCAGGTGTCAGTGCCTGCAGCCAGAAGTACTGAATGGAGACCCCAGCGGCTCAGCCCTGGCCGGACCCAGCATTTGGGGGCCCAGACCCCCTGACCTGCTGGTATAGACAGAGGGCCGTCCTCATAGGCCTCAGCCGCCAGCTGCTCGGTGCCACCTGATGCACGCAGATCCCAGCTGGGCTGGCGGGAACGATCCCCCCTCACCCCTCTCCTCCCACCCCTGGAAGGCAGAAGTTGCTACAGCTTCTTTTTTCCTTTGTAAACGTTCAGTGTTTTCCTTCTTGCACAACAATAGGGAAGCTGGGAGGGGGTGGTATGGTACACGCCCAGGGTCATCCGGCCACTGTGTGCAGAGCCGTGGGAACCCAGCCGGTGCGGGCCTGCAGGTCCTGCTCCACACCCAAGCCCCAGCGCCGAGGACCACTGTAGCAGCTCTGCGAGCGGAGCTTGGGAGGTGGCTCCACCCAGCCCTACTCTATTCAGATTGACTGAATCCCAGGCTGGCATCGTGGCTGGCTGGAGGCTGCGGCCAGCGGCTAGAGGCTGGCCTCCTCAGGGGCCTGCGCCTCAGGGTAGTAGCTTGGTTTTGGCCTCAGGCCTGCGCTGTCCTGTCATCTGCTGGTGGTATTGCTCCCCCAGGAGCATGCAAGAGGCTGGCGTGGGGGTCCCAGTGGGCACTATGCCAAGCCCTGCGGTCTTCCACACACTGGCTCGCACCGTCTGGCTGGAGGGGGCACCTGCTGACCTGGCCTTCTCAGCTTCCACTCCCTTTTCTGGAATAGCCGCTGACGTTGCTTTGAAAAGCCAACTTCCCACACCAGTGCCCGGGGCTCAGGGGGGCCCCGTCCCTTCCCAGGCGAGTGCCTGGGGCTCGGGGGGGCCCCCGTCCCTTCCCAGACCAGTGCCCGGGACTCAGGGGGGCCCCGTCCCTTCCCAGGCAAGTGCCCGGGGCTCAGGGGGGCCCCCGTCCCTTCCCAGGCCAGTGCCCGGGGCTCAGGGGGTCCCCCGTCCCTTCCCAGGCCAGTGCCCGGGGCTCGGGGGGCCCCCGTCCCTTCCCAGGCCAGTGCCCGGGGCTCGGGGGGCCCCCG